ATACGCCGAAAGCATCAAGTCTTGGTAGACTCAATATTTATCCGAATGTTTCTTTTTATTTTATTCGTCCTTTAGTTAGGAAACAAATTCTGCATGGCTGTTGAGAAAATCGATTTTTTCGATATGACAGCAAAACACCATAAATACACATTTGTATGCCTTGATTTTGGCTATCAAAACTTCAGTTCCAAAAGAAATGAATCTCGTATTCAGAATCAGTTCGAAAGTCGCCATTGAATAGTATATTCAAAACGAATTTTCGTCAAATTTCGGTCCTCATACTCTCTTACTGGAGCCCGTCAGGTTGGAGTCTGGAACCTTTCTGTTAATCGGATTCCCATTTGAAAATTTTGGACCCAACGGGCTCTAGTACGGAAGTATAAGGACCGAATTTTGACGAAAATTAATCTTGAGTATTGAGTGTACTATTCAATACAGACTTTCGGATTTTTTCAGAATATGAGATTAGTTTCTTTTTTGGAATTGAAGTTCTGTTAGTCAAAGTTATAGAATACAAATGTGTATTTATGGCTTTTTTGTTGTCATACCAAGAAAATCGATTTTCTCAACAATCAAACAATATTTTTCAAGATGCATGTAGGATTTGTTTCCTAACTATACAACGAGTAAAATAAAAAGACTTTGAGATAACTATTGAAGCTATCAAAACTTGATGCTTTCGGCGTCTTTCACTTTTTATAGGTCTTTATGATTTTTCTTGTAATCTAAGTTTCATTATGAAAACATTACCTGAATATACCAAAAACAAAATTTTTAAAGGTAACTTGACGAACTTTATCCAACCATAACAAAAAATACCCAAAAAACAGTTTGCTCATATTGCTTATTGTCAACATCTTGTAATTTAATCTTTTTTATTTTATTGTCTTCTTTCAAATTTTGACTCGACATTTATATCATGATTGATTTATAGTTATGTATTGTTCTATGAGTTATATATTTCTTTTTTTCAATTATCTAGAAGCATTGAAACTTCTATACACAATCTATAGATATCTCTTTAAGTTGTACAAAGTAAAATAATCGAAATTTCAATTTGACGAAAATGTACTCTTGCAAGAAAGAGATTGCTATGACTTCTATCACAATTTAAAGATGGCTAGTGTTCCGATATATGAAATTCCTGAAACGATTGCATGACATGTAACATACAATTTGAAAGGGTAATGGTTCTTTAAAGATTAGCGAGACTCTTCTACAGTTTCAAACTGTGTTTTCGAGAGAGACAATGGGAATATAAAATATTGATCAGAGTAATGTATGTTTTAATCAGAAAATCAATTGGATCAACAAAGAAAATATGTTTTTTTTTTGACTTCATTATATTATCGAATAATGTTTCAAATGAATAACCAAATTGATAATATTATTCTTACCGTATTTTTTGGATCAAGTGGATTGTATGTTTTATTATTAAATTTTTCGAATTGTGCTTTAAATTCTTCATATATTTGAAGAATTTCACCAGATAATGCTCGACCTAGAAAATGAATCTTAAATAAAATTCAATTTTATTTTTTTTCTTCATCTACCTTTAACACCACCAATTTCAACTTTTTCAAGTTTATTAAAAGTATTTGCTGTTGAAAATAAATCTTTAAGACAATCCATTCTTTCCATAAATATATCCCATTTAGCAAAAACAAGTTTTGGTGAAAAATCCCATTTTGTACCCATTTTCTCTCGAATTAATTTATATTCATCAATAAATTCATTTAATGTTTCAAATGTATCATCAATTTTCATTAATGCTTCATCAACTTCACCTTTAAATAATTCCATTGGTTCTAAATATTCACTTGCTTGTTTCATAATGAGATTACATATTTCTTGTAATAAAACAACTATTCTTGATGCTGTAGCATAATGATGACAATGATCATACAATAGACTAATTACATGAAACATTGGTTTAAATAAATGTTTAGCTTCGATAAAATCAGTTGTTTCTATTGATTCAAAATGACTTGCTAATGGTCGTAAATGTGTATCAATATCTTGTGCTTCATCAAGTGCATGACGAACATCATTATGTATTTGTAAAAATGATGGATAATATGAACTATTACTTTTCGAAAGTAATTCACCCATTTTTGTTACACGTGGATCATTGAGCTAAAGAATATTTTTAAAATTACTTACTAATCAAACGTTTTTTTTTTCTATGATAGGAAATATTGATTTTACCTGTTCAGAAATTGATTCTAGATGCGAACGTTTTGATTTCCAAAATTCAATTTCAGTTGATGGTAATGGATCAAGACCATCAAGTAATGGTTGTGCTGAATCTTTTTTTAATACTTCACGAATTTGATGTGACCATTCAATAACAACAGATTCTACAGCATGTACTAATTTTAAATCGATTGTTTCACCACTAAAACAAAAACAAAAAATGAAAATTTATCAAAATAGATAATTATAATAATCACAAAATCAATAATATACTTTCTAGAACTTGTTTGTGGTGTTTCATTTATTCGAGTGTGTCCATTAGCATGGAGTGTACCATTTGTACCTGTTGGACTACTATATTTTGGATATGGTAGTAAAATTTTTCCTTTCACAAGACTTGTAACAACTTGAAGTTGGGATTGAAGATCAGAAACATGTTTTTGTAAATCAGTTAAAACAACTTCAGGCCATTCTTCATGGTTTTGCGGTGCCGTTAACAATGGTCGAACGACCTAAAAATATTAGAAAAAAATAAAAAAGAAAACTAAATATTATGTTAATATAATTAAATACATCATTGACATAAATTTGTAATTGTTCAAGTGCAGCATTTGATAGATCACCAAAATTTAAGGCTGCAGCAATTTTTTCTTTCGATTCACGTTGTAAGGGTTCTGGTAATTTTTTACCAAAAAAACACGCTTTACTTTTAAGTGATGATGGAAATGATGCTCCTACTACCTATAAATATAAACATACATAAATATTAGAATTATATATAAAGAAAAATATAAAAAATCTTCTTACAAGATTTCCAGCAGGATTAACATGAAAGACAAGTAAAGTCGGTTGAGGTTTTTCACAAAAATCCATTATTGTTCGATTTTGTTCTTCGATTTGAACCATTTTTGTCCATCTGTCCGGTCGAAGACGTAATGATTTGATAAGATAATCAGCAATAAAATGGACGCGTAAATCAACAATGTCGAGTTCTTCGACCATATTGTTGACTTAATCACTAAAATCTGAAAATAACAATAGCAAGAAAAAAAACAAACTTCGATTTAATTTCAAGTTAGTATAGCAATAAACATCTTCAAACAAAAAATTCTCATATACCAATAATAGACAACAATTCAAAAATGTTTTTATTCGATGTGAATGGCATTGTCGTCGTTAAAACAGAATCTATTAATGAGTTTGAAACATTTTTTCCTCTTCTGTTACTGTTGCTTAAGTCTCCTTCGTTATCAAAAGCGCTCGCTCGCTCGCTCGCTCTTCTTTTACTTATTTGAAAATGTGAACCGAGCACATATATACACTTACATCGAAGAGTTGCTTGGTAACTCTTTCTTTTTTTTTCTCTCTCTTCTCAAAATTACAATTTGCATCTACTTCTTTTATATTAAAGCGTTGCTAGTGTTGATTCAAATGCTATGTGTCAAAGTCAATAAATCTTTTGTTGATATTTTAAAAAGAAAAAAAGCCTTTAAAAAAAACTACACTAATAATATCGGATGCAATTAAGATTTATGATTTCTACAAATAGAAGTTTTTTTTTTTTTCTCTTACATTGATTTAAATTGTTCTGTTCTGTTTCTATAAAAATAAGAATGATCTCTTAATGGCTTTGATGATGGTAGTCAGGCACATAAAATATTAATAAAATTATGTCAATCACATTATATTTAGTTGTTATATTACTTGTTTAAACAAAGCCGGAAATGATTTAATTGATCTTGTTCAATACACAAACCTTTTTCTTTTTCTTTCTATTAAATATAGATGTATGACAAAAATGTACAAGAATGAAATATAATAGAATTGAAAACAAATATAACCACTTGACGACGACAATGAAATAAAAAAAAAACAGAAACAACATGGAGTTATTTTTTATGATGACAACTACTAAACTATTAAAAAGAACTTAGAAAAAAAAAGAGGAAAGGATTATTGATCAATAGTGACATCTTTATTTTTATATTAAAATTAATATTTAATAATAATTTAGAAATAATACAGAAGAAAAAAATAGATATTATTTAAAATAATCTTTGAAAATCATCGTTTTTTAAAATATTTTAGCAACCACTTATGAATTCATCGCTAGAATCAATTATAATAATGGTGACGTCCGAAATGTGTAACACGTCTATTTTGTTTTTTGCTCTTAATTAATCCTGTACGTGAGTTCTTATCTTTTTTTCTTTTTATTCTACCTTTCATCATTTTCAAAACGAATTTATCAATGTTTAAAATATTGCCTTATCTTTGTTGAGTAAATTTTAGAAAAATTTAACAAAAAATAAAGGTTCAAAATATCGAGAATTTCTAAATATCTTTCATAGTGAATCTTTAATCTATTTAGGAAACTAAGATAGTTGTGTTCTGTTTCATCAATATTATAATTGAATTAAATATAATGTATTAAAAATAAACTGATAGAAAGGTATAGTAAATATCCTTGAAACTTGTAAGATTCATCATTGAATGAAAATTCTTTACTTCTAATGACAAATTAAATCTTTACTTTATGATTTAATTCATCGAATAACAATTTGACTAGTATATTAAAAGAAAACAGTTATTATCATGTCGACATAATATAGTTTATTTTTTATGCATTAAGATAGTATCAAATAATTACCGTTTATGCACATATATATATATAGATAACTATTTTATTTCTTGTGCTACTTAAGAAAACTATAATGATTTAGACAAAAAAAAATGAACCAATATATTTCCTTTAGTTTTTATATATATATAAATAATATTTCAATAAAGAAAAGCAATTAACCATGTTTTGGCAATGTCATATAGTAACATCATCTATTGACAAATTATTTGATAAACCAGAAGATGAATTAAAATTACAAGATTTTCTTGATGAAAGTGATTTAATTCAAGAATGTCTAAATCAAAATAAACGTCTACTTGATTATCTTATTCAAGAAAATGTTATGAATGAACTTATTTATCATGTAATAACATTACCACAAGATAATAATTTTCGTAATGCAAATATGGTGACAGAATTATTATCAGGAGATTTTCAATGTATACACGAAAAATTATTAGAAAAAAATAATCTTGATTTATTATATTCATTTTTATTAATAAATAATGATACACTTAATCCAATACTTGCTTCATTTTTTTCACGTATAATTATAACATTAATAAATCGAAAACCAAATGAAATAATAAATTATTTAAAATCTCGAGAAACATTTAAAAATGATTTTTTTCATCATCTTGATACAACATCGATAGCTGATATATTATATCGTTTAATAGCAGATTGTAGTGGTGAACAACGTTCAGATACAATTAAATGGTATGAAGATATTAATATAATTGATGGCCTTATGAAACAATTTTTAATAACAGAATCGAACTCTGTTCAAACAAATGTTGCTAATTTACTGAGTGAATTTTTACATTTAGCTTTTGATCAACAAACAGGCAACGAATGTGATATTGTTGGTCCAACATTATCATCAACAATAGAACGACTTCTTCATAATAGATATGAAAATAATGAAGGTTTGTATTTAAATCTTGACAAATCTTCTAACTACTTCATATCAGAAAACTTATCAAAAGAAATATTTTCGTTAATCTCTTTCTTAAATATCTTATTCTAATATCTGCAATTAATTAAGAAAATAATTAAATATGATATTATCAGAGCGAAAAAGAGATCTTAAGTAGGGATACATCAATTCCTTGATTGTGATTTCAAAGATGACATTTTTCTTTATTATTGATAATCCATTGTGCTGCCAATTGTTTGCACCAGTTTTTATTGTTCCATCCGAAGATACTATTAGAATCCATCGATTCTAAAATCAGAGTTTCAGAATTGACTGAAATTTATGAGTTTTAAAACAAAAACTGACTGATTCCGTAAGTTTTGTGAAACACGACCTAAAAAACTGTAACCTATTTTCACTACAAACCACGTGACAGACGTTGATATACGATCGTATATCGTATATCAGAGTCCTGCAGGGTAAGACTTTCTCGTATCCTTTATCCTAACCCTAAGCTAAGATTTCTAGGTTATGACAGATGCCAATAGAAAGTTTTCTTCATTGTGTTTCAGTATATTTTATTGATTTTCAACGATAATCAAATACCAAATTATCACATATTTCAAAAGTTTCGTAAGAATAAAATGTTACTCATAATGTTGCTACTCAATGCTGTCTTCTCTTTTCTAGAACTCTCTTATCTGCTTCCTAAAATATGGTCACTTCTAGCTGAGCTTGCTGCAACTTTCAATATACTAAGTTGTAGATAGTTCAGTGACCATTTGTCCCACCAGTACAATATCGATTCTTCTTCACCAAAACTTAATTTCACTTCAACATAACGACTCACTTCTTCTAAACTAGAAAGATGTCAGGAGTTTCTTCGAAGTTGTTTGCAAAAAAAAAATCTTAGCAATATGAACAGCACTCTAATTCTATCCTAAACATTTTTTGTACCACCCTTACTCTACCCTATCCTGCAGGGATCTGCCGTATATCAATAACATCTCATGGTTATGTATGAACTACTTCCTTGTTGCATCTCCTGAGGATTAAGCACAAGGATGGTGAACAAATGTCCACCAAAATAGATAGAATAAAGTAATTGCCTTGTGATTAGCAACAGCAGCTACATCGTATCTCACATTTTAATCCCGCAGAGATTGTACTAATAGCTTTTAGTGATGGGAGAAGTTGAAAATTCGACTGAAAGCCCTTTTATCTTCAAGGGGGAGAACGAAACTCATCGCATGCCCTAATCCTATTCATTGTACAATGACATCTCTGCTTATTTTTATTTTACTTTCTGTCAGATGTTTCCCTAATCGAGAATCTTGCTCTGATTACGTTATAAAAAGGGAAGAAAGAGTTCAAAAATCATGAGAAACACTGGTCACCTAATCTATGAAAAATCTTATCGTTTTATGAACTTATATTCAATTTTAGGATCATCATTATCCGATCAACTATCATCTAGTAGTGATGATGAAAAAAAGTCTATGGATGATGACACTGAAGGAAAATTAACACCACTTGTTCTTGCTCAACGTATTTTATCAAAATCGAATCTTGAACAATTATTTGATACATTAATAAAACGACCGATACTTATAGCAAATGGATATGAGTTTCTTCATAATATTCTTGATCTTCTTAGTCGACAAATGTCTGTGCCTATATGTATTTCATTGATATTAAAAAATAATAATTCATCATCGAATAACAATGAACAAATGCAGGTAAAAAGAAAAACAAAGCTCATTGAGATAACAAAAAATAAAATATGTTTTTTAAAGATTAATGATGACGAAAATAGTTTAACGGTGACTAAATCGAATGAGAATACATCTGCTTTAACAAATCTTGCCAAAGATCCTCTTATTCATATTTATTTAACATTACTAGAAGTCATATCTTCTCGATTACCATCATTAATTGCTTTACTATCTTTATCTTGTGCACCATTAATTCCATCATCCAATGATAATACACAAACAATAAAATATCAATTTATTAGTGAACCTCTCGGTTAGATTTTTGCTTTTTATTTTAATATTTTATTAAATATTTTCTATGATATATTTTTCTGAATAGGATCAATACGTCTTAATTTAATAAAATTCTTTGCAAAATTAATATATACAATTTCAAATGATTATACCGGTGATAATATCTATGAAATATTCAATTCAAATCGTTTATTTCATATATTACTTGATCTATTTGTTCAACATATTTATAATAATTTTTTACATACACAAGTTTATCTCATTATTCGTCTTATTATTCATATTAATTCAATTGCTATTAAACAACCCAATGATATATGGACACGTACATTACTTAATAATAAAAATGAATCAGGTATAATATAGATGAAATTCTCAACAGACAAGATTGATAATTGATGAAATCGTCCTCTCCTCGAGAAATTTGGTTTCTTCTATGTCAAACTCTCGCATAAGGTGTTCGAAAGCGAGTTCCAGTAGAATTAGTCCTATAACAATTGTTTGTGTTATGCCTATGCTAGTTGAAATAGCTAATGATTATCACATGTACATTGAATTCGGCTGTCAGATGATAATCAATTTTTTTTTATCTATCAATTTGATGAACGGTCAGACTAGTTTGTATGCAGTTTCATAGCGCTACAAAATGATATAAAAATATCCAACAAAAATACTGACATATATGACTTCACATAGGGCATATTCCCTTGCTGGACTAGTTTTAATATGATTTGATACCGCTTCGAGATGGTATCAAAATATTGAGAAGAAAACACTGGTTCTCAAGAAAAATTCTAAGGATACCATTCTGGAGACATGATTTTATATTTTTTAGTAGATTTCGATTAGAAAAAGTACGACCTGTGTAAAACTAATATGGTATTCTAAATTAGCATTCAAAACTTAGTAGATTTATGTGAGTTTCAAGTATTTTTAAGAATTTTTTTGTCGTCAAAAAAATAGCTTCTAGTTCCCTAGAGATGAATAAAAAAGATCAATTCCACCAAAAAATTATTTCAACAGTGGAAATAAAGTTATAAGGTTGTAAAACGATAGTAGAACTCAAAATCGCAAATGATTAAACAATAAAACTTGCATTTTGATGGAATTCATTTTGTGATTCATCTCTGAAGGGAATCAGAGGGCTTTTGTTTCGACGAAAAAAAGTTCATAAAAATACTTGAAACTCACATAGATCTACTCAGTTTTGACTTCTGATTTAGAATATCATATTAGTTCCACTCAGGTCACACCTTTTCTGATCGAAATGATATCTCGAGAATAGTCTCCTTAGGATTTCTTTGACTTGTTAATATTTTTTCCTCGATGTTTTTATATTATTTTGTAGCACTTGACAAGTGCTATCGAATCATATGAAAATAATTTGGTCACTGATGGGATCGATAGATAAAAAGAGTTGATTATCATCAACAGATCTATTCAATGTACATGTAACTACTATAGGACGAATTCCATTAGAAATCATTTTCGAACACTGTGTGTGAGAGTTTGCCATAGAAGAAATCAAATTTTTCAAGAAAGCTGATCTCATCAGTTACCAACCCTTCTCTTTTATCAATGAAATAAATCGAATACTTTAAAACAAAAAAAAGAAAAGAAAAGAAAATTTTGACAATCATATCTGTTGTTGTAGAAGTTTCCAAGTCTTCACCACTCTATTATACAAATCGTTATTCTTATAAATTATTTGAATCACTTTTAAATGTGTCAGGAGTTAATTTATTCGAACGTTTACTTGATCAATATGAATTAAATATAGCTTCAACAAAATCAATTACAACAAGTTCATCATCTGAAGATGCTGTTACATCAGCGTTACTTCATACATCATTTGTATCACCTAATTCTGGACATATTGCTCAAATACTTCGTTGCTTACGTGATCATGCATCAACATTTAGTAATTATGCATTATTTTTTAAATCAAGTGATCAACAACAAATTGATGATGATACAAATGTTATTGAAATACGTTGGCAAGCAGCACTTGATTATTTAAATGATGATGAAAATAAATGGTCAGCTATGCATTATACTGAACGTACAACAAGTAATTTTCGTATTAATTCTTCAGTAAAATATTTAACACATATGATAGAAACAAAGGATGCAGATGATAATGAAGAAACTGATGAACGACCACATACATTTCATATGAGAACATTTGGTAAAAGTGGTACAACATTTATTAATGATGATGATGATGATGATGTAAAATATTCATAAGAATAATATTAATTAGATAATTGAAATTTTTCTTCTTTTCTTTTATGTGTTTTCCTAGGATGAAATTGAACGTTTTGATATTGATGATGAATTAATGAAGAATGATGAAACAACAAATGAACGAAAACTAGTTGAAATGAAAAAAGTAAAACCAAAAACATTCGTGTGGAATTCAGATGTGAAATACTATATAACTACTGTTCCTAATCATAGGAAGATTGTTTTATTCTATCTATTTTGGGACACATTTCTTCACTATCATTTTACTTAATCTTCTCAAAATACAATAAAGAAATAGTTCAAATTTTAAAACGAAATATAATTCATATACGGTTTCTGATTGTATATCTATGTTTGTCACACTTTGTGATGATCTTTGACTAAAGCTCGTCGAGTTCAAAATGTTCGAAGCCGAATCCGGTGGAACCATTCTTTGATACTTTCAATGAAATTTTCTAATCGGAATTGGATAGTCATCTCAAAGATAGGAGATACTTTTTTCGGTTTTTTTCTATCCGATGACTAGCGCACTCTACTACACATTTCTTAGACGACTAGAATCCATCGGATATAAAGTTTTCGGATCTGAACCCAATTAACAGAAAAATTTCAGACCCAAACCTAGAGTTTAGCAGTGTCAAAAATTACTGGGAGCTAGGACTACAGTTCCAGTTACTAAAAATAAGAAAAGACCAGTTCTGATTCGGTTCCCAAAATATTACATGAAACTGAAACCATTAAATTAGTAGATAGATTCGAAAATTTCAAATATATTTTGAGAAATTTTCACTATTGAATTTTTGACATTAAAGACAATACATATTTCAATAGTTGAATAAAGTAATATTATACATATATGTTGAAATCTTTAATCTCAAGTACGAAAAAATGAAGATTTCTCGACATAATGAATATGTACACTAGATTTCTTTGTTTATTAAATCAATCAGTGAAAAAGAGAACAAAATCTCCGTTCGAAATGTAAAAATAAAAAAGACATAGCGTTTACTGACAATCGATTATCGTTGAAAAAGAACTGTTGTCTTTTAAAGATTTTACACGTTATATATTTTGTATTAGTATAATGAACCTAAGGAAGACATGTGAGTTCCATATTTCAGTCCGTAGGGAGCTGCACTAACAAGTGTTTTTGTATCTATCCGATGATTTAATGATTTTGATTCCATTTTTTTTTGGAACTACAGAATTCATCGGACCCTGGATCAACCCGATGAGTTCTATCCCTGACTGACGTCTGTGGAGGGTTCAAAGTTTTACCTCTATACTTCAACATTCCTTTTAAGATCATGTTTCACAAGAAAAAAAGAAAACGAATCTTATTTAATTAGAGATGTTTTTTTTGAATTAGGTATCATTTCAACTGCCATTTTCATCGACATTTTCTGATCAATCAATATGGTATCAACAAGATGATATGAGTGACACGAAAAAATCCAATTATGATAATAACGATAATGAAGAAATGAAATCAATTCCAACATTACCTGATCTATTTGAAAATCATCGAATACAACAAGAAAAAACCATATCATCAAATGAAACTAATTTTGAACAGCTCTGTTCTTTAAGAGCAAATGATAAAAATCATAGTTCTGGACTTTTTCCATTTCAATCCTCATCAACAATTCGAGATGAGGTAGGAGAAGGACAAGAAGAATTTTAAAAATAATTACAAACTATGGCTTATTCAAAATACATACATATATACATACAAAATCTGTCTGCTGCCGCCTACAGTCCCCATTGGTTTGCATTTTGTTTTTTTTTCTATTTCTACGAATCGGACATTTTGCAGTTTGTTTTTATTTATTGCCTACTCTTTGATATATTATCAAAATTCAAAAGACCTTTTATTCTTTGTTTTGAAATTTTTTTTCTTTTTGTATGCAGATATATGTATGTTATTGTTTCGTTTGTTCATCTTTTCTTTGATTAGTATACTATGAATAAAAACACCGAAAAAAAAAGACCATTTCATATCGAATGGCGGTAGCAGACAGTTAAGATTAAATATCAATCTTATATATTTCTTCCTTTTTTTTTTTTATTTATTCAAATAGGCAGTATCAAATGATGATGATTTCTGGAAGAATCATCGAATTTATTTGATAAATAGTGATGATAATCAACGTTTAAATAAATTACATACACAATCTATTAGTTCATCTTCAGATGAAGATAATGATATTGATGATGAAGATGAATCAAAAATAGATGCAAATATTCCTGATGATGAAAAATTTTTTGTTCATACCGATGTGGAAATAAATGAAAGTATTCAACCAAATAATATGATGGATATATTTAGACATCAAACATTTCAAACAAATAATATTAATAATAATTCTAATCAAGATAATCATTTAGAAGAAGATCAATTTAAAAGACATCAACAATCGGATACATTGCAATATAATACACATACTGAAATTTTTTCGATTGTACAAACAATTGAAAATCAAAATTGTAAAACATTAACATTTGTTAAACAAGATGAAGAACAAAATGGAGAAATGAACAGTAATAATGATGATGATCTTACATTACAAGATAATTTTTCATTTCTTATTGCCAAAGGTATGCTCAAACCAGCATCATTTTAATGAGAAATTTTTGTTTCATATACATCTATTCTATTCATGCCATTCCATATATTTGTATCAATGTGTATTAACTATATTGTTTGTTGTTTTTTTTTTGTTGTCATTTTCTTCATACTGTTATTCTACCACGTTTATTAATCTCTTCATTGGTTTTTGTTGATTTATAAGGGTAAGACACACAATGTATAGTCATTTTTTTCTATGAAAAGCATAAATAAAGGACGAGGTATGTTTTGGGGTCAGGTTGACCTCATTAGAAATCAAATATAGTTTGACGCAAAAATTGCAGCAACTGTAGAGGCCGGAATTAGTAATTATTCTTATAAATTTCAGCTCGATCGATTAAACTTTCACCTTACTTCGGTACTTAACAAAATAAATTTTCTTAAGGCTGATGTAATTATTCATTTTGTTAAACATCAGAATCTTCATTGAACTTTTCTTTTGTGTTTTCGGAAGATTTTTCAATAACACCAATTTCACAAAAACAGTGTAAGTGTCTGTACTACAGTCTATATGTAGTCATAGATCTCAAAGAACCCACAGCTCCCTAGAATGGGCTGGACTAGCCCTGCTCCCCTCGCCCCACTTACATCGTGTCTACGAAAATCTTGAGCTTTTATCTGAAAACTGTCTGCTAAGTATGATAAGATAACTTTTCTCAGTCACTTTCTGTCAGCAGATTGCCTCTGATTGTCTGTCGAATTTTTAGCTTCTTCCACTTCAAAAAACTATCGAGAGCCTTGCATGTAGTCCTTTCTTTATCTAAGTCAACTAACAGTTTTTCTGTGATCATTAGAGATGACCTGAATTTGATCAATAATAATGGTGATCTTATTTTAATGTTTATCAACACATATATTGGAAGATATATTGAATGAAACTTTAAAGAGTATCTTGGACGAATGATTCCGACTGCAAGTTCCCGTCGGAAAATGGTAGGACCTTGAAAGCATGAATTCAGCGGTCGAATTTTTCTATTTTCGGACAGAACCGACCATCGGATTCCCTACGTCCAAGTTCCTACAATTTTCTCGAATTTTCTAGTCGAAAACGGTCCGTATTTCTTGACTTGGGACGTCATTATATTATGTAAAAAGCATTTAAGTCACTTGAATTGTATAATAGATATTAGTATTTACTTTTCCAACGAACTTTTGAAAGATTCTGTAAAATAGAATACAGAAAAGAATATCATATGTTAGCGTTCGTGGTGCAGCTCGCATCGTCCTTAAGAATCGAACTCCTTCTAATAATAAACTTGAACAAAAAACGATAGAATAAAGAACTATAGTCATAATATTTGTGTTGAATTTCATGGAAAGTGGAGGATCATTTCATAATTTATGATTGACACATATATAAGATACCCACTTCAAAAGTTATGAATAAATTACAGTAGGCATATTGTATAATTAACGATGAAAAATAAGAATAATACAAGCTAGAAAATAGCGAGAGAAGGAGATGATAGTGAAATTTTGCAAATGTTTTGATTGAAATTCATTAAAAACGTTCAGTCTATTCAGACACAAGTCATGGATATAAACTCTTTGTTTTAGATCGACATAGTTTACTAAGATTTACATAATACAATAAGTTCTGTTTCAAAAGTGAATCGACACCTGAGAACGTTACCTCATCAGATTTGTTCATTTTCAATAGATTTAACTACGTAATAATGCACATAATGAAAAACAAGATATGCAACAAAAGTAATAAAATAGTCATATGAGATAAGTACTAATACCGATTGAGTCAAAATGATTGCAACACCGAGTATTTTGCAAATATCTCAGTATAGATAAATTCTATAACGTTGAATTCTTTTTAAAAGATGCACCGTAAAATTCTCTACAAGAATGGCAATGAAAAATCTCATTGAGTTTGTGCAATATTGTTCTTATAAGATGAGAACAGAAGCATTGTGAAATAGTGCAATATCTCATTATTCTGAAAGAAACAAAATGAAATTAACTTTAATTATTTTGCGTATGTCTCACTACTAACAGATCATAAAGCTTTAAATTTTTTTGTCACATTCGTCATGAAATTTTCTGCTGATTTTGCACAAAAAACGATCTTTTTGATGTCGTTATTGCCCATTATAAAAATGGAAAAAAGGTCTAGAAATTACACGTATATTAGCGAATAAGGTTCATTGTACTATAGTTCATCGATGAATACAGAGATTTAATCAAAGTGGCTCTGTTGATGCACGCATATCGATCGGAAGAAAATGAACTGGACGAACTAAGAGATTAATTAATTTAGTCAAGAAGCGACATGCATCCCAAAGTACAAGAAAAAGATCACGCACAATGGCCAAGAATTTCCAGAGTACTCAACAAAACGATCTTGAGAGTACTTAAATAGGAGTTAAAACTGAAATGTTATAGAAAAGTTAGTGCTCAAAAACTGCAAGATCATCATAAGTTACACCGAAAAAGATGTTTTATTTGGATTAGAAAGTATTTTAGCCGTGAATTAATGCAAAAAATTATGTTTACTAATGAGAAAATGTTCAACCAGAACGGCTATTTTAATTGAAAAAATGATGTTATATGGAGAATTAGTAGATTGAAAGCAGACAACAACAATGGGATATTCACTAAAGAAAAATACCCTGTTTCAGTGTTGATTGCAATGGGCGGCACATGGAATGATTTCACTGCACCATACTTTTTTGAAAAGTATTACCCACGTAGTCGGTTGTTGGATTATCATGTAATTATTGCCATTATAATGGAAAATAATGGCAATAATTACATGATAATCCAACAACCGGCTACATGGGTAACGCTTGAATAGTCAAATATATTGGAGCAACCTCACACACACCAGTGATAAGTCACAAAAAAGACTTCGAGTCGTTTATACGTAAAGATCAGTAGCCTTCTATTTCACCGGACTTAAATCCATTAAATTACTCTATATGGGATCATATTAATAAGAACATTGATTGTCAAAAGGCCAAAAACATGATAAGATTTGAAGAAACAAATAAATGAAGTATATCAAAAAATTATTGTAAGTTATGTTCACAAAATGATCAGCTCTTTTCTTCAAAAAGTTCATGCAATTGAACAGCATAACGACGATCACATTTTTCACGAACATTTATGATTTTAATATTATCTCATTTCAACTCTTTTTATAAAGTATATCATGATATGATGCAAAATTTTGTTTGAAATAAAAAGAAGACTTTTTTGATGTTATTTTCATTTTTATTTCTTTCAGAATAATGGAATATTGCACTATTTCGCAGTGCTTCTGTTTTCATTTTATAAGAACAATATTGCACAAATTCAATGAAATTTTTAATTATCATTCTTGTAGAGAATTTTACGGTGCATCTTTTAAAAAGAATTCAACGCTATAGGATTTATCTATGCTGAGATATATGCAAAATACTCGATGTTACAATCATATTGGCTCACCCGGTATGATGTTTGGTGAACGTTAGGATTCAAAGTGTTTCTATTTAAAATTGTAAGAACTTTATTTTGCACAGAATGTAAGCTTGTTATTAATGGATTACGGTGTTAAATCGTTATGACAAAAGAAAACAGAACAAGATACCTACCTCTGTTATATAAAATAAGTCTATCGTGTATTTAAGGACAACTATACATGTACCTAGATGCCAATTTACCAGTAAACCTGCCTTTATCAGAGTCAATGGCATTTTTGATTTCAAACTGAATCTTGGAAAAAAAACAAGTAACACTTATCGAAATTCGATTAGTCTAACCCTAGACTGAGGTAACGGTCTAGAACCGAAAATTTACTTTTATCCGTCTGTCTCTCTATAACACACTGATGACATGGTGACTATGATCCAATGACCACCGATAAAGCCTGAAAGGCCACAAATATACTCTGAACGAGCAAAAACTGGCATAAATGACCACAAATATGGTACATGTGGTCACCTGTATGGTCCATATGACAATAGACATGCCCGACACAATGGTATCTGTAGTCTTTTGAACTTTGTGTCTTAATTCGAACCATATTTGTGTAACATCACTGGTTAATTATGTCATGTTTGTAATCGTTTAGAGTATCTTTGTGGTCATTCAGATGGTATTTTGGTTGCCTGTGACTTAGATACCGCCGTTTCAGATAGACTTATCGTCACTTTCACCGAGTTTATGACCATTGTTACTATTTCTTCACTCGTACCATCTCTATGGTCAGTGACCATAGAGATAGTATGAGTGATCAAAATATGATCTAAATGACCACAAAAATGATTCAAGCCACCAAGACGGTGGTCCAAATGACCATACCTACTGTCATTTGTAAGATCTTTGTGGTAACTTGTACCATATCTATGGCCACTTGTACTACCTTTATGCTCCGCTATACCATAGTAGTGGTCACTTTTACCATTTCTGTGGTCATTTATACCATGTCTATGACCATTTGTACTATCGGCATGGTCTCCTATACCGCCGACATGGTCACTTGTACCATTCGTATGGTCATTTGTACCATCCGTATGGTCAGTTGTACCACGACTATGGTACTTTGCACCACGAAAATGGTCACTTGTACCACGGCTATGGTACTTTGTACCATGAAAATGGTCACTTGTACCACAACTATGGTACTTTGTACCATGGAGATGGTCATTTGTACCACGTGTGACAGACAGACAGACAGACACAGGTGAATTTCGGTTTCTAGACCCTGTTCTTTCAATCTAGAGAACAGCACCCTTTTCTACAAAATTGCGGAACTTCAGAATTATAATAATGACATCTGCAGTATATACCTCCCTATTTTTATAGGATACGGGCCTTGTGGACATTTAGACGTATACTGATGATGTATATAGTATATACCCCTATTTTCAAAGGGTGTGGGTGGGAGTCTTCTTTTGGCTCACACCCACATCCACACTCTCATGATAATTCTAAAGATTCTCAAGTCCCGCATTTCAGTTTGAAATTGAGTGTCTTTTTTTTTTCTAAATTCAGATTGAGATC